CCCCTCCACTCCATCTTCTCCCTCTGCCCCACCTTCGTCCCTCCCCATGGCCGAAGGCACCTCAAGCATCAACATGGGCTTGCTCCGCATGGATTCCATCGAGGATATCCACCATGAGCTTGTCGACCAGCCAGGCACCGGGGAGAACACATCTCTCCTCTCCATGTTTCAAGCACTCTCTGCCTCGCTCCGCAGAATTGAGGCCTCTATGACCTCCATATCCGATCGCGTCACCTCCCTCGAAAACCACACACCCGCCATCACCGTCGTCATGACGTCACCACCCCCTTCCTCCTCCGGCCAATCCATCCAATCCACCCTCGCCGCCCAAACCGGCCAACCATCTTCTTCCGACCAAAATAGCCAACCCCCCTCCTCCGGCCAATCTGGCCAAAGCCTCTTCGTCGGCCAAGCCGGCCAGGCCTCGTCATCCAACACCACCACCCCACCGTCCTCCACCACATCTTCTTCCACCCCCGTCACTTCCCTTCCCGTTTCCCTCCCCTCCTCACAACCTACTACAAGCGCTTCCACCACTACACGAACCACTCCCCTTCGCCTCTCCTCCCCCATCACCCAGCCTCTCCTAACTACTTCCACCATCCCCTCTGTCCACCCCTCTTACTCCCAAGTCCTTTCGGGTGTTTACCTCGCCATACCCCGACATCCTTCTTGCTACCTCCTTGGTGACCGCAGTTAGGATCACACCTACTACGACACCTCTCCTGACGACCGCAACTTCAACAACCTCGCTTGCATCGTTCCCCGCAACGGGGACATTCCCCGCTCCTTCCGCGCCACCGATATCTCGACGTTCTCCGGCCTCCCCCACGAGGACGTCTTCCTTTTCCTCTCTCAAGTCCAAAATGCTTTCGACCTCCACAACATGCCCCTCGCTCATTGGCTCCCCACCGCAACCTCCCGCCTCCAAGGCGCCGCTGCGCAATAGTGGTTAACCGAAACCAACAACCGTCGAGCCAACGGCCTTCCTCGCATCACCTTCCTTCAATGGGCCGACCTTCTCATCGCCACCTTCCGTCCGCAAAAGACCATCGATGACTACATCGATCAATTTTGCAACCTCCGCCAAACCGGCCCCACCGAGCGATTCATCCAATACGTTCGCTCCCTCCGCCTCCACATCCCGTCGACTCTCATTCCTGACTACGTCTTCATCTCCCGCATCAAGCGGGTATGCTTCCCCCACCTCGCCGCAACCCTCGCCCACGAGCCCGAGCTCCCTCTCACCGATCTCCTTACCCGCCTTCTCCACCATGATTGCCTTCCTCACCTCCGCTCTCAACGACCAATCGCCCCCAACCGCACCCGGTTTTCCCACAACATGGCCTCCGACGACTCGTCACTCCCCTCCGACGACGACTTTGACTCCTCTCCCGAGTCCCTTGACCCAGCCCAATTCACGGAGGAAGACTTCCAGGCTGTCCATCTCATGAGGATGGAACGACAACGCCTGGCCTCCCAACTTTCCTCCTCCCCCCAACCCCCTCGTCTCAAGAAGCTCACCCCCGCCGAACGCACCTTCCTTCAGACCAACGGCGGTTGTTTCCGTTGTCGCCAGCTGGGGCATCAACAAACCAATTGCCCCAAGGCTGGCCTCTCCACCCACCAGACTTCCCACCCCACCGGATCCAGCCCTCCCACATCCACTTCCTCCTCCTCCACCGCGGCCTCTGGACCCTCCTCCTCTTAAGCACTGTCCCCCCGCCCCTTGTAGCCATGTCCTGGCATCAACAATTCGTCTGCCAATCCCTCCCTCGGCGAAGACTTTCACACTGGACACCCCCCAGGCGTCGCAGTCTACTCCGCCTGCCCTCCTCTCGACGACGTCCTCTATTCCGTTGACTGAGCACCCCACGGCCACATGTTCCACTACCCTCCTCCCCAACCCCTCCACCATCACTTTCTCCGATCTCGTTGAGGAACAAAACCGACACACTCGGCTTGTTAGATTAGGCCTCGTGCAGCGCCACCTCAACGCCATGATCTCCTCCGTTTGTGCTAGAACCGCCCAGTTCCAGCTCAAGTTCGTCGCCGTATCCTTTGGAGCATCGACGGTGAAGTTCCGGACCCTTCTCGACATTGGTGCCACCGACAACTTCATCACGGATGCCTATGTCCGCAAAGTCGGCCTCCCTTCCACCGGCTATGATTCCCCGATCACCATCCGCCTAGGGGATAAGGACTCCGCCATCGTCGTCGACCGCACAGTCCCCGAGACCACAATGACTGTCGGCACTCTTCGAAGTCAGGTCTCCTTCGATGTCATGCACCTCATGTGCAACATCGTACTCGAGACTCCTTGGCTCGACCGCTACATGCCCTATACCTTCCACCCCTCTTTTGTCCGCCTCTCCACCCCTCCCGATCCACCCCTTGACATCCCCTACCTTCTCCCTCCCTCCACCCCTTCCCCCGTCTCTCCTCACCAATTTCTTCACATGACCCGTGAGCACCCCGACTCCGCCTACTATTGCCTTGTCATTGACCGCGACCATCCCGAGGACTTGCTTCCAACGGACAAACCCGACCAAGACCCCCCCTTCGACCCTCAGATCTCTGCCCTCCTATCCAGATTCAAAGACGTGTTTCCCGAATCCTTGCCCGTCGGACTACCTCCCGACCGAGGTGTTTCCCACACCATCGATCTCGAGCCCGGCCCCCTTTTGCCGCCCCCCATACCAGCTCTCCGTCCCTGAGGCCGAAGAAATGAAGCGCCAACTCAATGAACTCCTTGAAAAGGATTCATTAAGCCTAGCTCCTCCCCCTTCGGAACCAGCTGTCTATTCGTCAAGAAGAACGGCACCTCGGAACTCCGCATGTGCACAGACTACCGCGCCTTGAACCAGATCACGATCAAGAACAAGTATCCGCTTCCCCGGATATCCGAACTTCTTGATCGCCTCCGTGAAGCCAAATACTTCACCAAGATTGATCTCCGCAGTGGCTTCCACCAGATCCGCATCCGCGAGGAGGACACCCACAAGACCGCCTTCCGCTCCCGCTTCGGGCACTACGAGTTTCTCGTAATGCCTTTCGGTCTCACCAACGCCCCCGCTACATTCCAATCCACCATGAACCACATCTTCCGCGACCTCCTCGAAGTCTGTGTCGTGATCTACCTCGACGACATCCTTGTTTTTAGCCCCACCTTCGAGTCCCACCTTGATCATCACCGCCAAGTTCTCGCCATCCTCCTCGACCAGAAATTCGACGCCAAGCTCAGCAAATGCACATTTGCTGTCTCTAGCGTAGAATACCTTGGTCACATTGTCTCCACCGACGGCATCCGCATGGACCCCAAAAAGGTCTCTGCCCTCGTTGAGTTTCCCCCTCCCACCACTTTAACCCAACTTCGCTCCTTCACGGGACTCGCCAACTACTACCGCCCCTTCATCCGCAACTTCTCTGACGTTTCCTACCCTCTCCATGAGCTCACCCGTGCCACCGAACCCTTCGCTTGGATAGACCACCGCCAAGCCGCCTTCGACAAACTCAAGGAGCTCATCACCACTGCCCCCGTCCTCAAAATCGCCCACCCCACTCGCCACTTCTTCATCACTACGGATGCCTCCGACTTTGCCATCGGGGCCGTCTTATCCCAACGCTTTTCCCCCGACCCCGCGGAAACCCCCTCCATCAAGGACTCCCCCACTCACTCCCAATGCCCACCCGGCGAGCACCCCATCGCATTCGCCAGCAAGAAACTCCTTCCCGCAGAAATGAACTACCCATCCAACGAGAAGGAGCTCCTCGCCGTGGTCTATGCCCTCAAAGTCTGACGCCCGTACCTCGACGGGCAATACTTCACCATCCGCACCGATAACACTGTCGTTTCCTCTATTCTTACCAAGAAAGACATCACCCCTCGCCAAGCCCGTTGGCTCGACTTCCTTGCCCAATTTACCTTCACCATTTGCCACACCCTCGGCAAAAGCAACCGTGTTGCCGACGCCCTTTCCCGCCGCCCCGACCACAAGCCCCCTGAGAAAGTCTACACCGCCATGACCCACATCCAGCTCCTGCCATCGCTCCACCATCGCTACACCCAAGGATACCTCTCTTGCACCGACTTCTCCACCATCTACAACAAACTCCGTGACCTCGACCCCGTCCTCCACGACAACCTTCTCTACATTGAAACCAAAGGCACCCGCCGACTCTACATCCCTGACGCCCGTGGCCTGCGCACCCAGCTCTTGGCCGAGCACCACGATGCCAAGACCGCTGGCCACCTTGGTTTCCAGAAAACCTTTGATACCATCTCCCGTTATTTCCATTGGCCTTCCCTCCTTGCCGACATCAAAGCCTACATCCGCTCGTGCCCCACGTGTCAGACCGTCAACCCCTCGAACCGGGCTAAGCCCGGCATGCTTCAATCATTGCCCATCCCCACCCACCGCTGGCAGTCCGTCTCCATGGACTTCGTGTGCGGTCTTCCCAAGACCGACCGCGGGCATGACTGCATCTACGTCATTGTTTGTCGCCTGACCAAACGTGCTCACTTCATCCCATGCACCACCTCGCATAACGCCAAAGACATTGCCATTCTCTTCTTCGACCATGTCGCCAGACACCACGGCCTCCCCGAGAATATCATCAGTGATCGTGACCCCCGCTTTCTCTCCCAATTTTGGAAACAACTCTTCAATGCCTACGGAACCACGCTCAGGTACAACACTGCATTCCATCCACAGACCGACGGACAAACCGAGAAGATGAACGATACTCTCCAAGGAATCTTGCGGAAGTATTGTCATCCCCACCAGCACGATTGGGATCAGCTGCTCACCGCCGCCGAGATCGCCTACAACAACGCCGTTTGCCTGTGGACCTGGGTGACGACCGACGATAAAGGATCTAATGGCATGCGCACGAGGGCGATGGCTTGCTGCATCACTGTTCATGGAGATTATGCAGCTGGATTGGCCACCATGCTGCTACAACGGCCGACACCTTGCCTCGCAGACTCCCTAGAGCAGCTACTTGTCACATGAACCATGTACCAGTCTGCGACTCCCTTGCTACCGGATCAGACTCTATTGCCAATCATGTACTGGACACACCTGAGCACTTCGACTTTGGCCTTTTTGACTACCTCTACGACTACCTCCTATCGCAGCCGCTGAAGACCGCCTCGCTGCCTACTTTGGGACGTGCTCAAGACCTCCGAAGACCCCTTTCTTGTTGCTGATCAAGACACTTGAAGACCCCCCCCAGACCCCTTGACCCATTACAGACCTCAGACTGTGTACCCAGATCCCATCAGACACCCCAACCCTTGTACATATGAACTGTGCCCTTGAACCTGCAACATACAATTCTTTTATTTTATTTTTCGTCCCCTGACAACCCATAACCTTGTAGAATTTCAATAGAAATACCACGTTCACCCTTGTAGACTATCAATAGGAATACCCTGTTACCAGTTTCCCATTGTAGAACATCAGGAGGAATACCCTATCCCCTATTCACCCTTGTAGAACATCAGTAGGATATCCTATTACATGCTCCCCCTTGTAGAATATCAATAGGACTATCCTGTTTCCCTGCAATACCCTTAGCCCACCAGTAGGATAACCCTATTCACAGCCCACCAACACGACACCATGTGCCTTATCACCTACATTATACCCCTCTTCCTCCTTCGACTTGTTGACCAGTGATTGTCCCCGTCCCGTCCTTCACAGCTTTCGGCATGGCTTCATGACTTTTGGCAGCCGGGACGTTGCCTTCTAGAGGGAGGGGATAATGTTACGGACTCCGCCAGGGCTCGATCTCTGGTCCATCTTTTTGCTGTTTCTTCTGCTTCCCGTTTTCGCCCTGGCACCCTTTTCCCAAACCCCTCCTTTGGTACCATCGGATTTTGGACAACTGGCGCCATGCTGCAATTCGGGCGCCACTTTCAAATACCACACTTTTCAGTTCTGCCCTCGGGGCTTTTGCAGATCTACCCCCGGTACTGTACCGGACACCCGGTACTTATACCGGTGCCCCGTACAGTACGGGGACCCAGTCTCGTACCAGTTTTCAGCTGCTGTACCGGTACTCACTGTGACTTGCTCCTGTTTCGACATTCGGAATCCAAGACTTCGACTTTGTGTGCTTGCCACTGTGTCTGCGTCCGACCCTCAGTCGAGTCGAGTGAATGAGTGTGTGTGTGTGCTCTCACTTTCTCCCTCTCTCTCTCCTCTCCCTCGACTCTCCTTGTCTCCCTCAGCCTCGGGCCTGTTACAGTATCTCTACCGAGCTACTGACCCACGTGCGAAAACTTTTATATGCAATCACAGAGGTAGGTCAGCCGATGACATTTGCTTGCTCGCTGTAGTATGGATACACTTGGTTAACGCCAAACTGACCCTAACGTTGTCCGTTCCAAGGGTGATGATCTCCTAGGTACGGAGTAAACATCAGTCGACTAGGACAATCTCAACCAAGCGTGAAACCCAAAAATTATCCTAGTCCCTTAAACACACAGTCAAACAAAAAATTATAACAACTATACATAATTTCATCAAAAAAAGTTGACTGTAATCGATAAAAATGTACATCAAATCCAAAGTAATAACTGAGAGAATCCAAACCTTCATTTGATACATCCAATATTACAAGGCTAAAATAGAATTGGACCACCCCAGGTCGAACTTCACAAAACAAATCATACAGGCGCCAACAAGGAGTTGGCTTACAACAATAACTTTGATGCAGTCGGTAATCGAGTGCCTTAGTTTAGACTTGATGAGACGCGTTGCCAAAGTCATTCATTCCAACCTACCGCCGACCTAAGATTCGCACACACCCCACTCGCGGTTAACGACTACCTGAAATTTCAGAATGAAAGATTCTGAAGTGGTCTGAAACCGTTGAAATAACCTAAAGACACTTCATGTCATTTTAGAAGTTTCGGGTGGTTTGCAGGACAAGTTTTATGTTTTTTTTTTTTTGCCTGCCTGTTTTTTCAGCCACTTCATGTCATTTCAGGAATTTCAGGTGGGGACCTGAAACCGTTGAAGTGGTTGAAGCTTCTGAATGGGGTTTCAGGTACCCCCATCCAAATGGTTKKATGGGGGTACCTGAAACCCCTTTCAGAAGCTTCAGCCACTTCAGGTCATTTCAGGAATTTCAGGTGGGGACCTGAAACCACTGAAGTGGCTGAAGCTTCCGATAGGGGTTTCAGGTACCCCCATCCAAATGGTTGGATGAGGGTACTTGAAACCCCTTTCAGAAGCTTCAGCCACTTCATGTTATTTTAGGAATTTCAGGTGGGGACCTGAAACCGCTGAAGTGGCTGAAGCTTTTGAATGGGGTTTCAGGTACCCGCATCCAACCATTTGGATGAGGGTATCTGAAACCCCTTTCAGAAGCTTCAACCACTTCCGATCATTTCAGGAATTTCAGGTGGGGACCTGAAACCGCTGAAGTGGCTGAAGCTTCTGAAAAGGGTTTTAGGTACCCCATTTGGATGGGGGTACCTGATACCCCTTTCAGAAGCTTCAGCCACTTCAGATCATTTCAGGAATTTCAAGTGGGGACCTGAAACCGCTGAAGTGGCTGAAGCTTCTGAAAGGGGTTTCAGGTACCCCCATCCCACCATTTGCAATGGATCTGTAGGCAATATGAAAGTGGTGTATCAACCTGAAGTGGTTGAACTGCCTGAAGGCGGTTTCAGACAACCCCATGTATAGATCCACACACAATCTTAAAGTGGTTTAGTAACCTAACGTGACTGAAGTGCCTGGAAAGGAGACCTGAAAATATATGCACCCGTTAACCATCTCTCACACACCCGGCTCCATACATTCTTAATCTTTTTGGATGATAGACTGCTTTGCGAATGATTCTTGATCAGGGGCATTGCTTGAAGTGTTACATGTCTCTCCCTCTAGGAAGTGGTCTGAGGTACTCCTCCTCGTCCGAGCACAAGACTCGGATCTCAGAAGTCGGGACGTCTCCACCGAATCGGCAAAATACCCCTCCCTAGAACGGTCCACTCTGGGTCGATAACAAGGCCGGCTCCTGAAACACCGAACCCCCGCCCCAGATGCTTCTTGAAGAAAAAAAATGTGTTCACCGCAAATAATTTTTAATTATTCTCATTTTTCCTAAGTTAAGGGTAACTTGGACGAAAAGAAACAGAATGAGATAGAAAATGAGAATCATTTGGACAGGTATAGGTAGATAAGTGATTCGAGATACAAAGGGTCCATCCTCAGAAAAAATACTAAGTTCATTTGACCTTTTCTGCTTTATTTCAATCGCGTTCATTTACAACACGCACTGAATTAATCTTTTATAAAATAACAAGTCGTTTTTACAGCAGGCGGACGAAAGGTGAAAAAACGACAATCTTTTTCTTCATCTCAAATAGGCATAATCAATCTCCTTTGCAAACATCCTTCTACCTACCTGCACACAAATCCGAAGCAAACAAGTTCGGAAAAACCAGGCAAAGAAACCCATACCCAAAGTCAGACATTTTCATTCACATTCATGGCTCGCACAACTTTCTTTTACCTTTTCTTTTGAACAATCAGAACAACAGGGTCAAGCAAAGTGTGGGTTCACACAGGTGTGAAGGGAAGTCTGAGTCAATCAACTAACTGACCTTGAGCGAAGTTTGATCCGGCTCACTCAAGGAAGCCGAGTAATATTCTAGTAAAAAAAAAATGACCGCTGTTGAATATGAAAATATGCGCGGCTCACAACTCCACAAGTTGTGACCTTTCTCCTGAATGACGATCCACGTCCTCTCTCAATTGTTCAAAAGAACAAAGGTTGCATCACCAAAAAAATCAAGGAGGGTGTTGCCAGAAATGAGTGTTCACTTGGTCCCAGTTTCCCAAACTGTCTCAACACAGTCCCACTGCACTTTAACCACTAATGATACTCCCAAACTAACCATGTTACCTCCAGTCACCACGTCCGCTCACAGTAGCCACACCAACAAGCTGACCTCGATCTCAAATCAGTCTTACCTGGTCCCAAAATGAGCCCTGATGGTCCCAATGCAGTCCCATATCATCGCTCGCAGCATCAGATGGTCCAAAACTCAAAACTGCTCCCACTTCGCGCCGTAAAAAAAATAAAGGTGGCCCTGCTCCAAACCGCATGTGCTGCGAGCCCCCAAAAAATAAAGATGCCCTTCCGGTGCAAACTGCAAGTGCTGCAACTCCAATAGCCAGTGCCCCGTCCACTCACTCCGCGATATCTTCATACTGCTGGCTCACGCACCATTGCCGCACAAACCCAACCTCGCACTAATACTAGCCCAACCTCCCGATCAAATTGGAATCCACCATAACCGATGCGCACCATAAAAAACGTAATTGTCGCTCGCCACGCCGTTGAAACCAGTACCGCGACTGCCGTGCCAAAAAATTAGCAACACTTTTCCTACCGAAGTGTCGTTGCCGCCGTACCGAAAAATTGGCAGCACTTCCCTCTTCAGGAGACCTTGATCCCGCCACGCCGTCAGTCCGGCAGCATCTTCTCATTGAAGTGTTGCCGCCGCCGCCTCACGACTGCAACACCTTCCCTTTCAAAAAAAGGTTGCCGCCGAGTCGAAATTTCGGCAGCATAATCCCACTGAAAATACCGCCATCGTCGTACCGCCGAACATGCAGCACTTCCCCACACTCACATAAAAATAACGGTGCCGATGCGTCCGCACTTCGGCAGCA